TAAATTTTTAAAAGGACACATCTGTTGATTATAGTGTCATGATACCAATGCTCTAGTGAAGTTTAGAAGCTTCTTTTACTCTAAGTAACATAATTGAAAGACATAATTTTAGGCTCCAAGATTACTAAAATAAAATTGAAAAAACATACACTTTCCTTAGACCAACTAAAACTTCAGGAAAAATAACGGATTTCCATAGATGGAATATCTATCTATCTATCTTCCTATCTAGATATAAATAACACTTTCCTGGAAAACAGGTTTATGTCAAAATGTCCAAATATATTTTCTGTATAGCCCTAAATAAGTATGTGTTAATTTAAAAATGTATATCCATCTTTATCAAGATGGTTTATAGCATTACTGAAACAGTCTCAGGAAAGAAAATCAATGGAGATAAAAAAATAAAATTCAATTAATAATAAAAAGTCTATATTAACAGCGACAGGGAACGGCATAAAATACCATTCACAACTCCTGCATGAAAATCAAGGCACTTTCCAGAAGGCCTGGAAAAATGGAGAGCCTTTTATAGCCCTCCTTCAACACTTTTTGGAGTAAGCAACTGCAGAAATTGGAACTATGTTCAATTGAATCAGCTTACTCTAGTTTGATATCTGATAGTAATCAGAACCTATCTAGATGTTTTGAGATATGTGGATTGCCATCGTTATAGCCTTCGTGCCATGCCTTGCCGTGCCCCTTCATAACAAGCACGTGTTGTGATGGCTTTGTCATACACAACTCCATTTACCCAATGATGCAAAGCAAAGCAATGCACAGTACATAATTGTTTCCATCTATGGTGTCCAACCATAATCGAGAGGAAGCATGTTCATAACAGACACGGGGCAGTAGCAGTTCTGTGTCTCTTGAAAGATAGTTTGTCTTGCAGATCTCAGACTGCATGTACACTTACAATCCTGTGTCCCCTTCACAGCCTTATTAAGACTGTGTCCTTGAGTTAATGTGTATTTGATTGCACTGTGTAAATGAGAGGGAATCTATAAAAAGAAACATTCTTTGAGTTATACAGGACACAAATAATAAACACATGTAAAAATGAAAACCATTATCTCAGATTGTCCCTGGAAACCAACAGAATGCCATCTGGGATGGTTAGCTTAATAAAATGGAGCGTAAGGGAGACATGATGAAAGGGTAGAAAATTATTCATGGTGTGAAGAAAGTGAAGAGGGATACCTTTTTCCTCCTCCTCTTTTTAATACTAGAACCTGGGGTATCCCATGGAGCTGCCTGGTGGAAGAATCAGGACAGATAAAAAAATGCACTTTTTCACACGGAACATGGATAGTTACTGTGGAATTCATTATCACAGGATATAGTGATGGCCTCTTAATTGACTAGCCTTAAAAGCTGACTGCACCAATTCATGGAGGGTATGTCTAGCAGTGGCTACTAGTCCCGATGGCTTATGCTTCCTCTTGTGACGGAGGCAGGATGCCTGGGTGTGCTACTGGTTTGGGAACTTGGGTGGGAGGGTGCAGTGCCCTCATGTTCTGCTTTGTGAGTTTCCTGTGGTTGATGGCTGATCACTGCGTGGACAGACAGGTGGCTTAGCTGGCTGCTTTGTCTGATCCAGCAGGGCTCACCTTATAGTCCTGCAAGTGCAGCACTGAAGGTTCTTCTTCGTGGTCTCTGTGCATCATACATTTGGGCTCTGCACATGGAGCCTGTTCAGGGGTCTCAAAGTACCTATGTGGCAGTAATCTGTGGCATTTGGTATTTAACTGAAAGGTCTGAGCAACCGTTGAGAGCACCTGTGTGAAACGAACTGGGATTACATTAGAGAGCTTTGAGGTTGTAAAGGCATGAACGCTGGTTGCAGCATCCGTGAGGGGTGTGTGCGCGGGAGCACAGTCGGAGAAGGAGCTGAGCAGCACTGCTCCCTTCTGCCATGCTGCCCAGACAGTTCCTGCCCCTTTTTCCTGAACACGGAGCAGGCACGTTGCTCCAGCAGTCCCCTCCGGAGCAGCAGGCGAGGTGCCTGACCAGCCCTGTCATCCTCTCTGTGGCACTTCAGACCATGAGCGCTGCTATGTAGCAGAGACTGTGAGCTGGACTCTGCTTGTGACTGTGGCTGTCAGAGAGAGGAGCCTCACTCCTCTCCATGGTATCTCCTGGGATCCCACCTGGAGGAATGAGAGGGAAGGAGATGGTGGGAGAGGGGAGGCTTACTACCAAGAGCCTGATCATCTGATCAGCAGGTTAAAGGGGGGGAAAGCAACCCGTGGTAAGCACACGGGGTTGCTTGTCATGATATGTGAATTCTGCCATCAACTTTGAATGCATGGGAAGGGGAGCAAGAAATTTCTGAGTCTCCTTTAACAGTTGTTTCAGTTATGTCCATGAATGAATTTGTCTTTTCAGCTCCCCATCTTTCTTTCTCCTTCCATCCTTCACACTCTCTCTCTCATGCATCAATAGACCTGAAGTCATGGCTAAATGTTAACATGTTTCTAGAAGACTCACTAGTCTTTCTCTTTAAAACTGAATGCCACAAATACCTAATTTTGATTTCGTGTTTATATTCCTGATGCAGTTCTAGACAAGTTCAAGGTGCTAGTTAACCTTTGCAATGTATTACTTGCCTTGTGCTTAAGGGAGATAGATGACTAAGAAGAGCATATTGGAGCCTCTCAAAACACAGAATCATCAATCTTGACGTAGCTGGGCTTCATGCAGCGATCTGCCATCCGGCACATACATCTGCAATTTGTAGAGACAGAGCTTAGTATACCCAGCTTCTTATTTTTGCAGACCCTCAAAGGAAATGTCAGGTGGACATTACCAACTGCCTCTGCCTTGCTTTAATATCTTTTCAATAATTTAATATATTGTCTGACTTTCCCTGTGCTGAACTCATAACCCGTCACCCATCTCTTATCATCTTGCTGATTGATGCCTCAGCCGGCAGATTCTAAATCTGCACTGAAATCTACTGGCTAATGCAATAGGTGTTTGTGTGTGTGTGTGTGTTGTACGCATGGGCAATAGACACACATTGCTGTGAAGTTTCCCAGTGAACAAAGCTTTGGATCCCCCTTCCCTAAAGGAAAATCTCTTAAAATGATGATCTAGTACTTGCTGTATTTCTAGTATTCAGACTAAAACATAGTGTATGTAGTGACATACTAAGCCTCCATGAAGTGAAACAATATTTCTACTTTTCACCATTTGAATCCAGACACAGCTCTGTAAATATTAGAAGAGGCCCTTTTGTCTTCTTAACATTACTCTGTAATTTAAGAGCAAAGATGCAGCAACTTTGTATCAATATAAGTCAGAATGGCCACAGCACATCATCCATGGAGGAAGTACAGTAGCAGTGAACAACAGGTTAAGTTGTAATTTCAGTTCTACAAACTTCACTTTGGAAGTTGTAGTGGAATTACTTATGTGTGAGGAAGATAGTTGTAGTGGTTCAAGTCTGCAGTCTTCTTTCATCTCTCCATTCTTTTATTATACATGTTAATAGCATATTTCAACTATGTATCTGTATTCCCATGTATCATAAGAAATACTGCATAATCAATATACCTGTTAGTGCCTGAACATTTAAATGCAACATCATTTCATTCCAACCGATAAAGCACAAGAATTTTATATAACATGACAATAAGTAAACTGCAAAGGTGCTTTGAAATTGGTGGGATTACTGTGAACTGCATTTAATGTGTTGCTGTTGAATAAACCCAGTTTTAGAGAGGGCTGCACCTGCTAAACCTCTCAAGGCTGCCTGCCTCAGATCCATCAGTGACTTTGCAAAGGCGCATAGTATGGAGAGGATTCCCTTGGCCTACTTATGCAGGGGACCTGAAGGTTTTCTTTTCTGGTTGTCAAATGTAGGCCTGGGAAGAGGGAAGATAGCTGTAGGGACAATTCCCTCCTGCCATGCTGTGTTCTGCTGATGCATAACTCATTATGATTCCCCCTTTCTCCCAAGGAGTCTGCAGTTCCACAGGCAGAACTTGTAGGCAGGCTGAGGGCCTTAGAATCGGTGGGATCGCTACATCCCAAAAGTGCTTTCCACAGGCCTTTGTATTAATAACTCTCCATGGTGTCCCTTCTGTTTTTTTTTTAAACAAAGGTTTGCCAGTCTAGACAAAACAGAATGGTCTGGTTGAAACCAATGTAGCTAAACTTCTGCTTAAGTGTTCCAGCAACTGCACATTTCATGCCTCAATGGTATACATTCAAATAGAAATTGGGGTCCTTTGCGCAATGCTAGTCCAGGCTGCTGTGAATTCCTCCTTGAGAATATGTGGTGGCACCAGCTTTTTGAAAAGATGCCCTAGTAAGACTAGGGAATTTAAGGAGTGGGCATTTACTGCTACAGCACCTAAACTGTGGAATGCACTCCCTAGAGAGATTTGCCTGGTTTCTCCTCAGATTTTTTGGCACCAGGCAAGTCCACTTTTTGTTCTTCCAGGCCCTTTAAAAGAACTCCTACGTGTTTTGGTTCTTCGATATATTTAGTTTTGCATTTTAAAATGTGCTTCTCCATGTTTGAGATGCTCTGTTATTTATTTTTTAAAATGCTGTACTTTGTTTCTGCTTTTAAAGGCAATACTTTTAATATTTTTTGTTATGTGGGTCTTTGGTGATTTTATTACTTTATTACGTATTTTGTCCTGACAGTTTCAGCTGTAGGGGCACTCATAAGCTGCATGAATGGGGGAATTCACCCAAATGATGTAAAAAACTGAAAGCTGGGTTCTTAACAGATCCTTCCTGGGCAACATGCTTGAGTGGGTGGTTGCTGACCAAATCAAGTCAGGGCTGCATGAAGAGTTTTGTCTGTGACAGTAATAAAATAGCCAAAAGTTCATTCAGTATCAATCAACCACTTTATTTGCATACTGCTTTGCATATAGTATACTCAAAGCAGTTAAAACATTACGAAAAACAACACATCCCATTACATATATGTTTATAACCATATGCTCAAATGGTATGATCTCTTTTGTTATTACCAGGATGAAGATGGGACAGAAGAAGAAAGCAGCAGGGTTGAGCCTGTGGGTCATGCAGACACTGGCTTGGAGAATACTGCCAACTATTCTTTAGAGTAAGTTTCTTTATACAATAGTGGGTTTTACTTATTAGTCTGAAAATAGGATCGCAAGAAGTTATGATAAAGCTTTTATTTATGGGATCAAGTATATTCTATTCAAAAGCTTCTATCTTGGCATATGCCAAATATATTTCTAAGCATGTTAAACAAAGGGCTGAATAACATTGGTGTTGATAATTTTTTGGAAACTAATTCTCCAAGGCAGCCTTTCCCAAACTGGTACACTTCAAAAAGTGTTGCACAGTGTGGTGTTGTTGTTGCTGTTGCTGCTGTCGCTGTCATTATGTGTTGTCAAGTCATCTCCAACTTATGCCAACCCTAGGTACACAAGCTCTTCAGAATGCCCCATTCATGGTAGCCTTTATCAGCTCTTGTAAATTCAAAGTGCTGGCTCCCCTTATGGAATCCATCCATTTCATCCCATGTTTGGTCACCTTCTTCTTCTTCTTCCGACTTCAACTTTCCCTAGCATAATTGTCTTCTCCATGGGGTTTTGCCATTCATGAAGTTCCCAAAGTATGACAGCTTCAGTTTTATCATTTGCACAATGACCACCATTATTTGAGTCACCATATCCAAAGGCCAACTGACCAGGGCTGATGGAAGCTGTAGTCCATCTGGAGAGCAGTGAAAGGACTAAGCTGGCCCAAGGCATTAGAATGCCTGGATAAATTTCAACCATTGCTCACCAGATTTGTTTCTTTTGTTTTTGCTTTTTTGAAAAATGAACATAGGCCAAAAGAAAGGCAACATGTGAAGAAAACCTTATTACTGATTCAGTGTCTGTGATGCATAAGGTAGATTGCTAAGGATTCCTTATTCAGAGAGCCAGTGTTTTTATAGAATGAATCTGTTCTAAGAAATACAGTGCTAACTTTGGACTACACCATTTTTTAACACTGCAAATTGGATAATTTGAGCTATGCAGAGAGAGAGAGAAAGACAGAAACAGGATCACTGAAGAGGTAATGTGAAATCAATCTGTCTGTTCTCTAGAATTTTCCTGCTGTTCTGCTTCCACTTGCAATGTCTACAGTATGCTGGTGCAGCTGTAGTATCAAATATGTAAGCCAAGACTTGTCTAATGGTGTAGCGCATGCTTTCCTTGCAAAAACAAAAGAAAAAAGCTGGTCCAGTCACCCTTTTATGAAAGTAGGCTTAGGAAAGACTTCTCTCTTGAATCCTAGACGTGCCCGCCCCCCCCCCCCATAGGAAGTAGACTCTTCCAACAGGTGATGCTAGCGCTACCTCAGCCTTCCCCAGTCTTGTGCAGTCACTGAGCAGTGGCACTTAAAGGAAGAGGGATGGGATGTTGAGGCACCACCGGAATACATTGCACATTGGTGGTGCTGGTCTCCTTCCCTCCCCACCCTCTGGAATACACCCTGTGCCCTTCCTTGAGGTTGCACCTACAACATCAGAGAATTACATTGTTGTTGTTGTTGTTGTTGTTGTTGTATGCTGCCCCATAGCCCATAGGACTCTCTGGGTGGCTTACAATAGAACAAGAAAAATACATATTCCATACAAATCTAATAATACAATCAAGCAATACAATAAGGCAATACACTCTTTATCTGTAAGCAAGGCAAAATCAAAATGAAGCTTGGTACAATAATATAATGCATAGTATCATAATAATACCAGCAATACCTAATATATGTGCATAATACTATATAATATATGATATCAGCAATAATAAGATACAGGTATAATTCACCCCCACACAAAACCCTATTACCCATTAATTGTTGCTAGTTGTGAAATCGCATCCGACCATTTGCGACCCCATGGGCAACATTCCTCCAGGCCTTCCTGTCCTCCACCATCCCTGGGAGTCCACTTAAGCTCATGCCGACTGCTTCAGTGACTCCATCTAGCCACCTCATCCTCTGCTATCCCCTTCTTCTTTTGCCATCAGTTGTTTCCAGCATCAGGCTGTTCTCCAGGGAGTCCTTCCTTCTCATTACATTTAGCTAAAGATACACACCCACACAGCCCTGCTTCAACATTTCCCCTACACCAAGATGCAGCAGGTTAGCCCAGGTAGCCCACAAGAAAGAGGGCCTGGTCTCCGAGGCCCCACCCAAAATGTGTACCCAGTGCAGCATGGCTCCCTGCCCATGTCCAGCGTCTCTTGGCATGTGTCTCCCCTTCCCCGCCTCTTTGATAGCACCTATATTTCTTTCACAAATGGTGACACCAGCCGAGCTCAAGCTGGAAAACATAGTGGGGAGGGCACAGCTGCCCCCCATGATGGTCTGCAGCAGCTATGGCGGAAGCAGCAGGCAGGCCTGAAGTAGGTCTTTTGGGGCGTGCTGTGAAGGTGAGGAGAGCACTCCAGTTGCCAATCCCTAACTGCAACGTTCTTGCAGTTCGAAAGCATGCTAATGCCAGTAGATGAAAAGGTACCACTTCGGTGGGCAGGCAACAGCGTTCCGTGCACTTCGGTGTTCAGTCATGCTGGCCGCATGACCACGGAGACTGTCTGCGGACAAACGCTGGCTCCCTCGGCTAGGAAACGGAGATGAGCACCGCCCCCTAGAGTCAGGCATGACTGGACGTAATGTCAAGGGGAAACCTTTACCTTTACCTTTACCTAACTATAACATTAGACTTCTTTTTGGACCTGGGAGTTGGAAATCTGAACTATCCTTTGCTATCCAGAGGCCAAAAGATCACTCTCTTACACTCTTGGAATGTTTGTTGCAAACCAAAGGTCAATTACAATTATAATAATAAACAAGTTTATTTTCTCAGTAAAATTCCTAAATCGGTAATCTAACAAGAACTGTTTCCCTGTTCTGGGGAATCCATATTTATTAACTTGGCTCCTCTTTTCTAAGTAACTGACTTCATCATGACTGACAATGCCTTCCCAAATAACACAGAAGTCTATAATCCCTGAAGAGTTGATCCATGAAATCAGTTTTTTTCCCATGTTTCAGAGTATTTAACTTTGAATATAAGTTATTCATCACTTATAAGCGATGAATATAAGACTTTGTACAGCACATAGAATGACATTACTGTGCATGTTTAAGAATTAAATAATGCAGCCATCTAATGAGAATAAATAAGTATCTCAAAAGGAGGCTGAAATTAATCTGAACAATTGGACAATACAAGAAAATGGATTTGAAAAATTTATGATGTTCCAATACAGCTTATTTAAAAAAAAAAAAACAAAATAGTGTAAAAGTATACTTAACAAAAACCCTTTTCCTCAAAATTTTGGTTTTATTTGGGCCAACAATTCTAAACTAAAGTTTGAAACTGGTTTGCGAACTACAGTCTGTGCTAATTGGATTATTACATCGTTTCAACAAACCACTGTTAGGGGCGTTTACTCTGCCTAAAAGGCTGGCTGAACCATGGAGATAGAACTGAACTTGCGAAGCCAAGTCCTGAGCAGAAGGAAGGAAAGGAGAAGACAAGTACAGTATATGTTTGGAAGCTCAAACCACAGTTTGGGTCCTTGGCTGTGCCTAGTAGATTGTTTTCTATAATGTTAGGATATTATGTTTGTGCTTTCCCAATGAAAGACTGATGCAATGCTGTTGAATTAATTTGTAATTTTCTGAAGTCCTTTTATTACAAAGTTTGAGCATATGCTGAGAACATACCATGTGATTAACTAGCCTATAAGCAGTTCATATGTATTTCATTGTCAATTAATTTACAATAATACATCAGATGAGGAACTGAACTTTTCCCCCATATTTGACAATTTATTTTAACATCATGCTTCACTCCCTGCCCATTCGAACACCATCCTCAACTCTCTTCTGTTACTGTTGCACTTAATGCAATTCATTTAATGGATTAGGGTTACCCAAAACATTAGTTTGTGTTTCGTTTGATTTATTAAAGAATTATTTTTATGATGGATCTCCTTTCATGCCATCAGATTAATAGTGAGGTCTGTAACACTCAATTTTGCTTTCATCGCCACCAGTTCTCAAATAACTTTGTGTGGGGTATGTGTGTGCATATGTGTGTGTGTTCGCGCACGCACACGCATGTGGTCCTTTTTGGTTCATTTATGTTCACATTCCCTCATTCATCATTGTCTCACAGTGATATGGTAAAGCTTGTCGAAGTCTCCAATGACGGTGGACCTTTGGGAATCCATGTAGTGCCTTTCAGTGCCCGAGGCGGAAGGTAATGTATTGTGTAGGTTTTTAATTTAATCATAGCCGTCTTCTGCTTTTATCTCATGAGTAACTAGCTTTTGTGGGGTGGGGTAGTGGTGGGAGCTAGGATGTCTATTTGAAATAAAGCATGATTCTTTCAGCAGAAAGTCTTGCTGACTCAAAAACATAAGGAAACCTGTCTATGAGTATAACCGCGCCGGTCAAGGTGAGGATGACAAATCCCGGTTCTTAATTTATAACAGAAATTATATTCTGTCCTAATGCGAGGCTGAATTGAAAGGACATGAATTATTTCCATCAGAGTCTCATAAAAGTTTCCTCTTGCCTTTTACCTTGGTCTAATATTAGAAATGTACTTCACGCAGTATTTATCCCCGACTGCTTAGGCCGTAATTTACCCTGCTGGCAGCATCCAAAACCACAAAGACACATTTCTGGGTGTATTTTTGTGCTCATACTTGAAAGGAATAAAATTTATAGTCACCGTGGTGTTAAATAAAATTGGTGACGTGAAATACAGCATCACTTTTGATTTGCTGCTGAGCTTGAGTGTGTCTAGTATTGCATTACACACACAAAAATAAGTATCTAAGAGGTCCAAGCAGTGAGGTGAAATGAGTAGTATAGAGAGAATGGTCATTTGCTGATCTCTGTTGATAAACAGAACACTCAGAATCATGATTCTCACTTTGTGGAGGTGGAATTTTAGTATCTAGGTTCTTTGAGTGAATGCACTTGGAAAATTAAATGACCTATAAAGATTCTGAGCCACAATTTAAAGGTTTGTGGTATGAAGGAAAATACTTGGCACTTCCACAAAGTTGTAAGTAAGACTTGAAGGGGTTTGGGGAAGGGAAAGAGATTACCTTTATCTTAGAAGTGTAATTGCATCCATATTTTCTACTTGTTGGTGAGAAAGGACCAAACATGCATTGTATAAATGTAATCTAGGATTATATATTGAAGAGATATTATGTTTTGACAAGTCTACCTATCCATCAACAATTTCACTTTAAATTGATTAAAAGCAAATGTCACTACATATCAAATATATCTTATCAGGTGTTTTTCATACTTGATAAATAGGGGAGTTTTCCTGCCCAGAATGATGAATGCAGTGTAAAATATCATTCATTCTTCGTATTATTTTAAACTTAATCACTGAATAGGTACAGTGACATGTGGTACTCCAATAAAACAAATAATCTTCTTATAGCAGCACTCTCTGAAGACCTGGAAGGTAAGAATAAGTGGTACCATAAGCCTGTCATTAGACTTTTGTGAATGATCTAGTATTCATTCAGCTACGTTTTCAGGTATGTAGCCATATGACGGCCCCTGCCCCCAAAAGGCAATATACCATGATGCATTATGTTTTTATGTTCCTTAACAGAAACAATAAATAAGCGTTCGGTTAAAGTGCTGTATTTCTTCATTAAAATGGCCCATACTGAGTATTCTGAAGCTGCAAAAACAGTTTTGGTAGCTTTGTGTGTGGCATAGGCAAACTGGAGAAATGAAAGCTTTTTGTGAGAGAGTGCATTTTTCTTGTACATCGAGTATCCTATAAACTGAGTATTAATGACAACGATTCACAGGGGAGACCCAGTCACCTGTCTCTTGTGAAATTTGAAGTAGCTAGGAGGTAGGAAAGAGGAAGGATTTCTTGGGTTTAGGGAACTGGGTTACAAGGGCATGTGCCACAGCTTTTTGTTGTTACCTACCGTCAAGTCATGTCCAACTTGCAGTGACCTTATGAACCAGTGTCCTTCAAAATGTCCTTTCCATGGCAGCCCTGCTCAGCTCTTCCAAGTTGTCAGCGTGAGAAGGAGAGCTGCTTTGGGTGCTCATTCTCAAGGACTGCTGGCTGGGTTTCAGAAGAAGCAGAACTGGGATGTGTAGCCAATCAAAGAGGAGTTGGGGAAGATGGGCCATGCTGAGACACTGAGATGAGGGAAGCAGACATGCTTCTCTCAAGGCCAGACTCCTCAGGTGGGCAGGCAGTTCCTGGGATAAGCAGTGGAAAGGAGCTCTGAGAACGAGTGTTTCTCGATTGCAGACTGGGCAGCCTCCATGATGAGGCATCAGCAGAAGGGGTGGCCCAATTAAATGATCGGTGGACAGAGTGGAGGCATGCCTGGCTTCAGAAAGCTCTTCCTCAAGGGATGAGTCCCAGGCATGTTCATAAGGAAAGATCCCAGAGACGAATACTAGATTGGCTTCAACAAACTGCCCTATGCATGCTCAGAGATTTGTTCTGGGTGATTTGTGCTTTTGGGTCAGTAAAAAATGCTTTGCAAAGAAATCGTCTGTGGCTTTTAAATGCTTGAATCAAGAAACCTCAGCTCACAACAAAGGTTGTGGCTTCCTTTATGGAAAAGATCCATCTCATATTTGTTCTTCCTTTTCTTCTTCTGCCTTCAACTTTCTCCAGGGAGTCTTGTCTTCTCACAATGTGTCCAAATTATGACAGCCTCAGTTTTGTCACATTTGCTTCTTGGGAAAGCTCTGACTTGGTTTGATCATGGACCCTGTTGATCTTTGTGCCACGGCAAACCACCACTATCCTGATTTCGGTCCAATTTTCCATGGAATTTTGATTTTGGGAATAGCTAAATACCAACTGATGGAGATCAGCTTTTAACTTAAAAATAATTCCACTAAGAGCAACAACTGTGTTTTCCCAGCAAACTTGCAGGCTTTTTTAAACAAGGGAACAAAATTAAGTTAGAAACAAACAATGGTAGACTTGCCGGGAAGAAACCAATTACACAAACTGTACCAGACCAAAAAGTAAGGGGGAAAACCAGCAATCGAAAAGAATAAAAATGGGCTCATTTTTAAGGATTTCATTCAAACTTAAACATGGCTTCTTGGAAGTAACCATTAGTATCCATGGAATTGATATTTGGTCAATGGTATATAAGAAAGCAGCCTTAATGCAACATATTTTGCCAGCTAAAGTTCTCTGGCTCAGGAGCCTAAAATGTAAGGCAGCTCATGCTCGTGTAATGTAAGTATCAGTGTACTAGGAACTTTTTGATCCTAATTGATTTTGGGCCTCAGTGGGACCAAACTGCATATTTTGTTAATAACGTATGTTATAGTTGTCCCTCTAGAGAAAAAGTCCTTCTAGCAAAACAGCAGGACAGGCAATTGGGGAGGCAAAATCTGCTTCAGCTGGATGTCCAAAGACGTCTGTGTTTGGGGGCTCACAGTCATCCCAGCAGGATTGCTCCCCTAATATTTCATTATCTCTCTCTCCTGTCCAGTATCCACAGCTCTGTGAGTGACTTGCAAAGAATCTTTCTCAGTCATGGTGTCCTCATTTGGATCCATACCTTTCCTGTGCTTACTTGAGATAAATGAAATACGGAGTTTTGAACATAACTTGTAGATTTCCTCTTAGTGTCATTGCTTACTATTTTACCTTGTTGGAAAGTAAGGGCAGTGTAGGGAACCTTTCTGCTCTTCATGATGTTGTAAATAAAAGATGAAGAGAAACAGCTTAGCACAGAAAATGTGATTTCTTCTTCAGGTTCCAATGAGCAGTGTTCCTAAGGTGGTCTTTTACTAAAAATAAGGCACCACATGCAAAAGCGGTCTTCATTTCAGTCACGGGCACAGCATCTTTGCAGTGCTGTGGAGGAAGATAAGCTGGAGCTTTGTTCGTGTGCTTGGCCTTGACTCGTGGAGTGAATTGCCTGTAGAGTTTCTGCCATTTTTCCTGTGAGACTATTGTCAGTGGAGAGTATGTTTGCACATAATGTCACTATAAGAGCTACATAAATCAGGTCATGACACTGTGCAAAGAAAAAAAAACCCTATTAATCCTTTCATTCAAAGAGGACTTTATAATCTCTTCAAAGAGCATACATTCAGATTGGCCCAAGCACCCTTCTCTATAGCCCTTTACCGGCATTACTGCTGAGATCAGACATGTCATTTGGATATTCATTTTTGATGCTTGTTTAATTCCTTCCAGAAAAATTGTATAGAATTGTGAAGAGGGAGGAAAGTAGGGACAGGTGACCCATTAGTTTTTCAAGAAGGTGGGGTACTTTGTGTATTATCCTCATAATGGTTGGCGATCACACCAAAACTGTTAAAACATTATATTTGTCTCAGACAAGACCAAGGTATCCAGAGTGAAGGACATTTGTCATGTACTCCATCAATCTTTTACTTCTCTGGGCTTGATACTGAAAAACAAAGCAGGCTGCTAAGTAAGTGGCTGCTGGCAGTATTCAAAACTGTTTACCAAGAGCAAAGAGCAGTTTGAGCATTGCTGGGATACTCTGGAAAATTGGAAGTACAGTTCTGCTACTGGCATGCCCCTTGATAAGTTTGTGTGTTGAGGTCAATTACTGCTCTTAAATAAATATAATGACTAATACTAATAAGAATTAATGTATGCAACATTATATATTGGATGAACACTTTTACTCTGTAGAAGCTTAAAGTAATCCCTATGTTTTCAGTAATGGGTTTAGTATATCTTTTTAGTAGACCATGTATATCTGTACCTATCTTCTGGCAGAATTGTTTTCTTTCACTCTGTAATCTTTGTCAAGGCATCCTTGTCTGTGGGACTTCAAATTCTATCTTTTCTTCCCTAATACTATGGTCCTTATATGGTACCCAAATGACATAGAGTCATGCTCGCCTTGAGATAAGCATCTGAAATGCAATGTGGGGTCAGGGACGCAGTGCTGTTTCCCCTCTACTCTCCACTTAGATCTGGAAAGGGAATGGGGACTGTGTATGTTTCAGAAACAAGCTTTTCCTTTTTCTCCAGCATGAAGCAGAAGCAGGGGTGGGCCAAAACTTGGTTTGGCTCTGGGCATCCCTCAGATAAGCCTGTGCGCCACTGTATTCCCTCCACCCATTTAGACCAGAAAAATGGAGCCGTGCAGAATTGTCTGTCCAGTTGGAACTGCTGGCAGCTGCACAGCTACAAGCTCATATTTCTCTACCTTTTCCTTTCAAGTTGAAACTGGAGAGAAA